TTTCTTATTATATCTTTTAACAGCATTTGACAGTTATTTGCTTCCTTGAAATACTTTCCTAACCTCTAGGACTCTACTTTGTCCCCAGTTATCCAAACTTTGCAGTCTCTTGAGTAATTTCTTCTCATCTCCCTGATCTTTAAACATGATGTGCTCCAGGACCCATCCTTGGACCTCCTCCCTATCTTGTACTCAGTCTCTGGGAGGTCTCATCCGTTATGCATCTGCCATCTATCTGCTGAGGACACTCACATTTTCATATTCAGCCCAGACCTGGTCCTTGAATTTCAGATTCCCGTCTTCAACTGCCTGTTTTCTAGATCTAGATCCACTTTCCAGATCCAGATGTATTAAGTTCTACATGTTCAAAGCCGAGCTCCTGTTCCTCCCCCTCTAATCTTGCTGCTCTTGCAATAGCTCAAAAGGACTATGAAGTTTTTCTCAACTTCTCTCTCTCTCTGTCTTTTCTTTTTTAGAGATAGGGTCTCTTGCCCAGAATGTAGCACAGCAGTTCGCCATAATCTTCAACTCTTGGACTCAAGGGATTCTCCCACATCAGCTGCCCAAGTAGCTAGGACTATGGGTGCATGCCACCATGTTCAGCTAATTTTTTTTTATTTTTACTTTTTGCAGAGATGGGGTCTTGCTATGTTTACCAGGCTGGTCTCAAACTCCTGGCCTCAAGTGATCTTCCTGCTTCTGTCTTCCAAAGTACTGGGATTATAGACATGAGCCACAGTGTCCAGCCAAGAACTGTCTTACAGCTGGTGTTGGCCAGGTGGAAATCCCCATGCAGGCATCATAGTCTATGCTCAGGCCCACTTAGTTGCTATTCCTTGGGCATGCCTGGCCTCACCATCGCTTGATGTGAGGGCCACAGGCCTTCTGAAGCCTGCTCGTTAGAAGAAGGAACATAAATCTAGTTAATGTGTTAAAAACCTTAGATTAGGTAAAACAAAACAAACAAAACACCAGCATCAAAGCCATGCAGAATGGGAAGGCCAGTTGCTTGGATGACACTGGAGCACTTTTATAAGAAATGTGGCATCCCAAAGGCTCTGTGACTCAGAGAAACATATTGTGGGACAACCTGGGCATCAACGACTCTGAGTTAGAAAATAAGTACGGTGAGATTCTCAGTGCAAAATTAGCAAAACTTTTTTTTTTTTTTTTTTT